CATACAACGGACTGCGGACTAGGTACGTTCCTCTAAGTCTTGCTACCAACATGACCAATTTGTGAAAACAGGGTCAAACAAATTCTATACAATGAAAGGAGACTGCGACTACACAAAAGGTCATACCATCTTGGTCTTCATACCTTCAAATAAACTAGATTTTCGCTTCATCCACAACCCCACAATAAATGTAACTTTGCAAGGGTCGAGCTTGCCTCAAAAGTCATAACTGCGCTGTACTCAATCAACAGCTGTGACTGCCTAATGGCGAGGCAACGTGTCTCCGCGATGCTGACGACCCGGTTTCGAATCCAGATGTAACGATGAGGCTAAGTGGAACCTGATCCCAACCCAGCCGATAAAAGAAAAGATTCTGGACGGCGAGATTAATTGAAATTCAAAGGCATCATAAGACCCACTACTTTTATTATGTGAAAAATTCGACTGGCCGTTGTTAAACCACGCTATGAGACCTAGACTGACCAAATTTGCAGTCAAGCCCAACTGGTACCCTTAAAAGGAGATGACACGAAATAAAAAAAATCGCCTATTTACTTCGATGGTCAAGCTACGTAGTATATACAAAGAAAAGTTGGGTTTCGAGGAATCTCTTATTTCATAATTGTTGAGCTTACTTCCATTTGGAGTAGAAGTGTTGGGTGAAGAAATTCGAAGGTCGGTTCCACCAAAAGACGATGGCGGATTCCTCTTGACCAGTTGTCGATTGGCTTGACTGGAACATTCATGCTGGCGCTGTTTCCGAGGCAATCTCCTTAGATTCCGGTGAAAAGGTGCTAAGCTTTCGTGCGTCATATGACGGACATCATCAGAGCAAAGTAACATCGTCACAACAAAATTCAAGCTAACGAGTCAAGAAAGTAGTATGTAAGTAGAGTTTAGAGACTACGGTGAGTTTTCTTGACTCGTTAGCTTGAATTTTGTTGTTGCGATGGTAGCTCGCTCTGATGAGGTCCGTCATATGACGCACGAAAGCTTAGCACTTTTTCACCGGAATCGAAGAAGATTGCCTCGGAAACAGCGTCAGCGTGAATGTTCGAGTAAAGCCAATCGACAGCTGGTCAAGAGCAATTCGCCGTCGTCTTCTGGTGGAACCGACTTTCGAATCTATTCACCCAACACTTTCACTCGAAATGGAAGTAAGCTCAACAAGCTAGGTAGAGCCTAAAGCAAAGGTCTGATTTGGGAAAGATGTCTACTTTCAGTTTTGTTGGCTTACATGACACGAACTACTCCGTCATTCGCCGACAATCCGGCGGGAACACTGAGACGAGCAACATTTTTCGACGGTCTCTCAACCAGAAACCGAGAGTCCTGCTCCACACTCCGCCCGTCGGCGGCAAACAGGAACTGAGGCTCACTGGCGCCCGGTCCGCTGGCGGTGCAGATCATTTCGACGTGCTGGCTCGGGCGAACGCGGATGAAGCTCGGCCGCACCAACACTGAACCCGATCCTGACCAACCGGATGGAGATGAGGACGGAAGGAGGAAAAGTGGAGAGAGGAAGAGGAAGGAAATGGGGAATTTTGGCGGAAAAATAAAGTAAAGATGGGAGGAGAGTAGAACAGAGTGATTAAGAAACAGAGAGAGAGAGAGAGAGAGAGAGAGTAATGATGAATGAGGGAGGAGGGAGGAGGGAGGAGGAAGTAGTTGTGGATCAAGGACTTTCTCAGTAAAGGAATAGTTAAACATTTTTTCGCTGCCCCATCGGTACCGCTTTCGGAACGGTGAATTATCTGATGTTGTCAATTCCAAATAATTTCATGATCCCCTTTATATTTGTGGTCGGAATAGACAAAACCCTGCCATAAAGGCTCTTACTGGCACCGGTTTGGCCACCAGCCTCGAAGTTGAACTTGGTCTCTGAAGGAGGTACAGGAACTGGTAGATCCATTCACCGCACTGAATGGAAAGATCAGACTTTCGCCATTTGGCCACTGGCCGATATGGAACCCTGTCGGCTTCCGCCCTCTGCCGCTTCGTAGACTCGCTTTAACAGAATCCAGAGGAAATGAACTAATCAAAGAATTTAAAGAAAACCTTCTTAACCTTCTCAAAAGGATTTAGCCTAAGAGCAACAAGAAAAGCCTCTTGAACTTTGAACATGTACCAGCGGCTACTGCAGACCTCACCTATCCTGAAACTTGCTATAATCGTCAAGCCAGGTTCATTATCAGCTGCGAAGTGTTATCTCTACCAACCATAAATTCCTAATTTGAGCGCACGTTTTTTTCGCTTTATGTAAAGTCTGTAAGTGCACTCTTGTAAGACAAAATATAGGATTTTGAGAGTCTAATATGGGGCTTTTGTTTCTAAATAAATAAAGTTTTACGGCTGCAGGTTGGAAGAATTTTCTTCGTGAACAATTTTGTATTCTTGTTTGGTACTTATTTCTTTGTGATATTTAGGGGTATAATTATATATTTAATTATATATATATATACATATTATATATTAATTATATATTTAATTATATATGAATTATACATTTTCTGATTCTTGTAAAATTTTTCTTTTACTTTATTAAAGTAGTGTTATGCTTTTTGGCAGCATTACTTACTGCAATGTAGGGGATCCTCGTCTGAAGCGTCGTTGCAATCAGGAACGCCGTCGCAAAATTTGTTTGCCGGACGGCATTCGAGATTCGAACATGTGAACTGGCCCTTGGCACAACTGGACGACACCTGAATAATGAAGAAGTAGCCACGTGGGTCAGATTCAACCAGGCACCTGCGCCGCGAGAGGGGAAAGAGGAAGAGTAGACGAAGTGGGAAGACAAAGAAGATGAGCATAACGAAGGAAAAGAACAAGTCGTGGTTGAATTGGAGAAGAAGATATCCTCAGATTAATTTTCATTCAAATATATTTTATTCTCCCGATTAATGTAATTCGAATAAATTCCACGTAGAATTCCGCCTATTTCTGCCAAATGTACTTACAACATGAACCTAAATTTACGCACGATGTCATTAGGTGCTCAAATATTGAAACATCCTACTAATAAAGGAATAAGCAGAAACAAGTGAAATAGAATAAAAGGCGTACTAACAAAATGTAAATATTGCCACGAAATTCATAGTCTAAAGTAACCACAAAAATGGTAGCCACATAAAACCCCACAAATGATTAAAAATCAAAATGTCAACGCTTCTATACGATTACAAAAAAAGAAGAACATACATTCGGTGTAAGCATACTTTTAAACCATCAATAAGTCTAAGATAATAACATTATTCGTTCAAGGTAATTTAAGGACTGACGGCGGAATTTCCTCACAGAGTAATATGCAGGCCTCAGAATACCAGTAAAATTCCCTTTATCTCACCTTTTAATGGCCAGTTAAGTAGACGAATAAACCACCAAAATAAAAGGGTTGGCAGATCTAGTAGCTGCTGAGCATAAAGGAAAATATCAACAAAGCATTCTCGGTAATAGCAAAAGGAAGAGAAAAAAGCCATAAACAACCACAAAATTTGATTATACCTCGGTAAAAAGCAATATCATAGAATTTAGAAACCACCATAGTAACTACGCTATGGCACCAATTATGCAAAGTTTATAGTAAAAAAGTAAAAAAAACTAGGAGAAAAGACAAACATCTGTTTAGTGAGTAGCAAATACGCGAAGGATTTTTTTGTCATATACTCAATTTGATTTGGTATTATGAGGTATATCCCAAATAAACGGTTGCTCCGGAATTTACACGCCAAAGTATTTCCGCATAAAACTCATAAAAATAAAAAAAACACATTTAAAAGTAAATATTAAACTCGCTGCGAGCCCCAATATACTGATGGCATAAGAGAAAATTTAACTCTTCACTAAAATAGATAATCGAAAAAAAATAAACAAAATCTTATCAAATGCCTCCAAAATCACAGAGTCTAGCAGAGTCTGAAAGTCACTCATACTAAAATACAATAAATGCTAAAATGTAATACATAAAGCAAACAACTTCGGTAAGGTAATTATATTCAATCTGCAGTCATGAATCTATGCCTATCAGACAACGACAAATTGATGACCAAGGCAGTAAAGTGATTACGTGTTTCTCTTACTTTATCTGCACTACTTAAATCATTAGAGTACACGATAAACAGAAACAGGTTTTAATAGTTAATCTACTACAAGCTGCCAGTAAAAACGTCATAAGATTTTAATCAACTAATTGGCATCCAAAATTGTCTGAAGACGAACCATTTAAGACAGAGCATGCAACAACATCTACGGGATTTCTATATTTACGGCATAGCCAAATGACCCGAGTGGGAAAGCTTGATTTTAATGCCACCTCCATCTGTAGACTTTCTTTACTTTTCTTTTTCTTTTCTTTGCTACATCATTCCATTTACTACTTCATCTTTGCTCAGTAATATTTCAATTTTCCTTCTTTTTCTTATTCATTTAATTTAAACTTTTTTCATTCACCCTTCCACTGATCTGTGCACTAGGCTACTTGTATGCACGTGTGGATGCTTGTCCTGCCATACAGTTTTACTCGTACAAAAAATAGCAGTAAAATTATAAACAATATATATATGCATATATTATTGCACCAGTCAAAGAAAAAAACAACAAGACTTAAGAAAAATCATAATCACCTGTTGGTGAGATGAACGCTTCTCTTCAAATAGGCAATTAATTTGTTATTAATCTTTCAATTATGCACACCTTAGTTCGCATTGATTCAATTAGATTACATAATTGGCCTCTCCATAATGCAGGTAATAAAAGCCACGAGACCTCCTCCCTTGTTTAGGGTGAAAAAGGGTTGAGCTTTCGTCCGTCAAATGATGGACATCATCAGAGCTGGGTCTCATTCCTTGAAAAGTCTCACGTTAACACGAGGCCAAGAAGACTATCCGGCTCTAGCTTACCTCTTACATGAACTCAATTAAGCAAAATAAAATAAAATAAAATACCTAAATACGAGATGGGAGCTTGTAAGTATGTAAGTCAAGTTACGAAACCACTTGTCCTAACCTCTCAGTCTAGGCGTATAGACGTCAATACACAGACATACAGACACACTTGCAAAAGTAGCAGGACCAGTATCAAAGATAATTGACCAAACCACTATATTTCTATCCAGGTTCATAAGTTTCTTTTTCTTAATTGAGTCCGGATAGTCTTCTTGACTATCCTCATGTTAACATGAGACTTTTCCAGGAATGAGACCCAGCTCTGATGATGACTCATCGAAGGATGGACGAAAGCTCAGCCGGTTTTCACCCGAAACGAAGGAGGAGATCTCGTGGACTGTGTCAATGTGAACGTCGTATCAAAGCCAAACAATGGCAGTACAACGGGAATCAGCCGTCCTCTTCTGGAGAGATCGACCTACGCGTCTCTTCTTCATGCACTTACATACGACATGAAAATCCCCCAACAATGTCATCTCAGGAGGTTAATCGAAACCCAATTTTTCTTCGAATCTACAATAAAAGCCATACCAATAGATTATAAAATCTTTGAAATCGCAATTTATATACAAATCGTGAATATATAACCATTAATATTTATCACCATTGATTTATCCGTTCCTATACATATCGTTATGCATGTTCCGTAAGGCTGCATTTATCTTCATAGTTGGGTCCTTCATTAGTTCACGATAAGTAGTCCTGTTTTGCATCATACATTCAATTTTAACTGTATATTATTTTGTCTATTACAACTGTCACTCCTCCGTTGTCAGCCTCAAGGACAAATTCTTCATTCCTTTCTAGGTTTCTTCGTATTCTCGCAAATCTGTTCTTCTGCAAAGGTTGATAATGTGTCGCGATTATAGGGAATATTTCTATATTTATTTCGCGTTTTATTCCCTCAGAGAACTTGTCGGCGATATTGATGACCTTAATCAGGTTGTGGTTCAGAATATTTCTTCAATTTTGAACAGAAAATATTAGTCGTTTCTTTGGAATTGTAGTAGTTTTATGATCAAGGCGAAGCAAGAAAATTTGCACCACCTTGTTCCCTTAGTCATGGCCTTGGAAGCCTCTTCAACTGGGCTCACTGGCTTTAATCTACGTTATCATATAATTTCATAATAAGCTATGTTTTGTCATGTTTTTTATTATTAAGCCACAGATCCTACAAAATTTCTTTTTGGCCAAGAAAATCCTCGAAAGTCAGATTCCTGGCCGGATCACGCCGAAGCTTTGACATAATGTCTATAAAATAAATCTCTTATTCCTATCCACAACATGGGATTACTTTAATTCATGTAAGGAAAACTGGTGAAAAATCACATTCAACCTATTTGAAAAAAAGTGTATTTTAAAGTCATAAATCTCGAGGAGATTTACCATAACGTTTAACACAATATAAAAAGGCCAAATGACATGATTGTCTGACAATTGTATTATCTGTCTGTGCATAATTGCTGCCTTATATGGCAGCAATTGCAAGGTCCGTCTCTGGAAATTATCATGCCTACTATGGTATTCGAACAAGGTGGGTTTCCTGCCAATATGAAAAAGTTGCGAAAAAAGATCAAATAACTAGTAAACAAAAAAAGGAGACCACAATTAAACAAAAGGCCGCACAAATCTGGTCTTCATATCTTATTAATACAGAAGTTGTTTTACCTTGTTTTCGCAACTTGATCATAATGTTGAGAATACTCAGAGAAAAGCAACAAGTCTGGAGTCCATAGTATGCATACTCATTTGCAGCTGCGGACGGTATACGTGGCAGATTCCCAGACGTTTAGCCGGCATCGTCTGTGAGCCTTGCCAGGCTTAGCAGCAAGCCAGAACTCGATCATTTGACCAATTGTCTGCTACCTCTTGTCCTTTTCTGCTAAGGCATTCACCTATTCCATAGCCTCCTATCACCCCTTCACTATCACACTTTCGTATTTAAGTGTGGCATCGTGTGCCCTTTTGAGCCGATTTCATGAGGACTCTCCAAACCCCACGCCGGCTTTCTCACCCACCCCCACCCCCCCTCTCGATTCTCTTCCTGTAGGTCTTATCAGTCTCCCTCTTGTCATGTAGGATCCGCCTCCTATCTTCATGGTTCATGTATTTCACTCGACCCTTGTTACTCTATTTATACTTTTTCACACACTGTCTCAAACATTTGATGGCCCATAAAAATCAGAAGCCTCAAGCTGAATGGGATACTAACTTGAGACTAACGGGACCGAGCAATTGTCATGGTCAAACCTCTGCCACATTTGCCACGTCAATGATCAAACACGACGTAAAACAAGTTCTACTCTTCACCGCCTCTATCATGCTTCTATTCATAGTGCCAAGTCAATGACTTCCTATGCCCTAGTCTTTTGTATGCCAACCCACAAATGTTGTGGTTCTACTTGTTTTGATTAGGCTAAATGGAGAACATGCAAAAGAAGAAACATTGGTTTTCGAGGAGTCTCTCATTTCATAATTGTTGAGCTTACTTCCATTTCGAGTGAAAGTGTTTGGTGAGTAGATTCGAAGGTCTGATGCACCAGAAGACGACTGCGGATTAGCCTTGACCAGCTGTCGATCGACTTTACTGGAACATTCTTGTTGATGCTGTTTCCGTGGTGGTCTCCTTGGATTTCGATGAAAACGTGCTAGGCTTTCCTCCGTCGTGTGACGAACATTAGAGTAGGATATCATCGTACCAATCAATTTCAAGCTAACGAGTCAAGAAAACTCGCCGGCTCATCCTTAAAAACTGTATATAACCTGTGTATCTGGCCTCTTTGATGAGGTATAGAGTGATTTGGCTATTACCAATCATATGTCAACCTCGAAGCCTGTGAGTTGATTACCTCGGAAACAGCGTCAGCATG